CTTTGAAACTGCTTGTGTGCGCGTGTCGATTTGTGTCTTTACTTTGGGGCATGGAGGCGAAGTTTGCTGACTGGTGTACATTCTTCGGTCTGTTCGTTAATGGACAGATATTCTCTTTTGGTCTACCTGGTGCGTAAGGATTTGTTTTATAGTGACGTTCATTGTAGCTTTTGGCTGTTGTTTTTGCCTCTGCTAACGGGACTTCCTGGAGTTCGGCGTAGTTCCCAATTGACTTATCAACTGTTTCTCTCATCACGCCTTGCCTCACTAATTTACAATACCGCAAGGCTACCATCCAGCCGAAATCCTTTCGGAGTTTCTTCACTACCGCTATGTGACCTCCAAACTTGTCCGCAATTGGTTTCCACCCACAAGCTACTAGGTGAGTACAAAACAACTCGATACAATCACCCCATACTTCGTAATCTATAGTTAACTCTTCCACCGGTTCCTCGCCTCCATAAATACGTGCTTCTCCTGATTCTTTCTTATCAGACTTTGTTGTTCTGGCTGACCAAGCTTTTTGATCCGCAATTAACCATTCTTCGTTGAATACTGTAAGTTGAATATATGAGGTTAAACCATTTAAGACTATCGTCAAACCTGGTGATAAGGGTGCTAAAGATTCTTGCATTTGTGCATCTCCACCTTTCAGAATCCTTCCATTATGTATCACATCGCCGTTCGCCATCTCCAAGGTGCCTTTCTTAGACGACATTATCGCGAAAGCTCGATGTGACTCGTCCTCTGATTTTGCTCCCTCGAACCATTCGGACTTATCAACGGGCGTGATAGCAGGAAGATTCTGATCTTGAATAGTCGTTAAACCTTGATTGTTCTGTTGTAAACCGATGATCAGATTACGTTGCTGTTGAGCATCTACAACTGACTTTGGATGTTGAACTAAGTTGGCCTTTGGTCTGATCTCGCGAACAAACGCTACTGACGGGACCTCTGACGGGTTGGTTGCCGTGTCATCCTCGTCCACCACATATGGATTAGGTTGGTGGTGTCCTGACTTTTCTTTGTCCAGGATTTTCAACAACAGAGCCGCCTCTTCGTCATCCCCTCGAACGTAGGCTTCCTGGATCAAAGCACCTATAGTCGTTCGTCGCGAGTCAACTGTTTTGATTTCAAGCCAAAGGTGGTTTCCATCGTGTCAGTCCATGTCTGGAACCTTTTCTATCTTCCATGATCCAAGATTTGAATTAACGGGTTTTGGGATATGTCTTGTCTTTATCGCCAATATTAGGCTAGTGCCTCCCTATTGTGAGCCAGGTTTAGCTTAGAGTCACTTGGATAGCCGGACTATGGCATGGATTCCTATTGTAAGCCGGTCCAAGGCTGGGCTCCTATTCTCAGCCGGGCCAGGCTTGACTCCTACTGTAAGCCGGGTCAGGCTGGGCGCTTATTCTTTAGCCAGGCCAGGCTTTCTTGATGTAAGTTTTCCTCTTCTGTTCCAATCCTTATCTAGAATTCACAGTCCAAAACAAAAAACATAACATAATTTCTTCTTTCCTAACTTAAGCTATCCCGGTATATTCTTGGGAAGCTTATTGTTACTATTCCTTTTACGAACTAAAGATCTGCGTCTTTCTGATATTGGCAGATGATCTTTCGGTTCGTACTCTATATTATGACTTTTCCTCCAGAATTGTTCTGAATGACATCAAGACATAACGATTCGAAAGACACAACGACTCGGAACATAACTTCTGAATGGGAAACACCTTTGAGTTAAAGGAGTTCTAGTTTGAATTTGAATTCTTTTGGGGTTTGCGTAGAAGGATACTTGGAGAGGGGTTTGAAATCGGAAGTGAAAAATGGGATACTAAAAGGGAATACGACTGCAATGAAATTATATCACTTGTGAATTAATAATCTTACCTGGTTGGTCATACCCTTCTTCCTCTTGACTTCTATCATTCTCCTCTGATTTACTTCTTTCCTCCTCAATTCCTCCCCATTCCTGTAACTCCTCCTCCTCCGCCGGTAGATCCTCTCGGTGTTCCTTCTCCTGTTCCTCCTGACGCTTCTTTCTCTTTGAAACCTCCTTTGTCTTCCTTAAGCCTTTAGGTCGCTCCCTTTGTTTTGGGATACCTTGATTTCGATCATTGACAGGTGTTCTGTTCGAGGCAACACTTCGTCTGGTTCGTCCTGGAAGTCTTCTCGGGGTTAAAAGTCGATCGCCTGGTTGAATTCCTGTGGCCGCTGCCTCTGCTCGTGTTAAGACTCTATTGTTTAAATTGATTTCCGTTTGATTCAATTGATTTTGAAAAGACATCTTTGTCTTTTGCTATCTCTTCTGATATTTGAATCTTGATATTTTAATCTTGATCGGTTTTCTTCAAACTTAATCTATTCAAAAATTTCTTATAACTAATTGAGCCTAAAACACGAGAGTCGATATAACTAAGAGGTGTCTTGTTATTCGACAACTGCAGCTAATGAGAGACTAAGTTTAAGCTTGGAGAGAAAAACTCTGTGTATTTCTCTTCTCGCTAACTTGTCCTGGGCGTGTGACATGTCTTATTACATGTCACCTCATTAGTTCACATCTCGTGGACACCAGCACCA